GTGTGTGTGTGTGTGTGACGGACCCAGTGGCCTGGCGGGAACTGTGGGGCCGCGTGGGCTGGGCTCAGCTCACACCAGCCCCAGGACCCCAGGACATGCTGGCTACTCTAGAACTGGGCGGGTTTGGGCAGGGGGTGCCCTGGGCTGGGGCAGGCCTGGGGTTCTGGGGTCTCGACATGATCAGAGGTAGGGCCGCCCTCAGGCCTGGCGTGGTGATGGGCGTCTCTGCAGATCCACAAGCTGCTGCGCGTGTCTGTGCTGGTGGTGGAGCTGCTAGACTCGGGCTCCTCCGTCCTCGTCAGCCTGGAGGATGGCTGGGACGTCACCACCCAGGTGCGCTGGAGGGATGGGGCTTGGCGGGAGGATGCGTGCGGAGCCGGGGATGGGGACTGGGTCCTCACGAGCAGGCCTGCAGGTCGTGTCGCTGGTGCAGCTGCTCTCGGACCCCTTCTACCGCACCCTAGAGGGCTTCCGGCTGCTGGTGGAGAAGGAGTGGCTGTCCTTCGGGCATCGCTTCAGCCACCGCGGGGCCCACACCCTGGCCGGGCAGAGCAGTGGCTTCACGCCCATCTTCCTGCAGTTCTTGGATTGCGTGCACCAGGTAGGGGTGGCGGGAGGCCGTGTGTGGGCCCCTGGCCCAGCTGCACTGACCACTGACCGTGCGTGTGCCGGTCCGTGTGCCGGTCCAGGTCCACCTGCAATTCCCCATGGAGTTTGAGTTCAGCCAGTTCTACCTCAAGTTCCTCAGCTACCACCACGTATCCCGCCGCTTCCGCACCTTCCTGCTGGACTCTGATTACGAGCGCATCGAGCTGGGTGAGCGCGGGCAGGCTCAGCATGTGCCCCCATCCCCATCCTGCTCCTGCTGTGTGAGAAGGGGAGGGGGTAGGCTCAGTGCTGAACTTCTCCCCCCAGGCCTGCTGTATGAGGAGAAAGGGGAGAGGAGGGGCCCCCAGCCGTGCAGGTCTGTGTGGGAGTACATGGACCGGCTGAGCAAAAAGACACCTGTGTTCTACAACTACATGTATGCTCCCGAGGACGCAGAGGTCAGCATGGGCCTGGGCTTGGGCGTGGGGGGGGGTGTTTGGTGGCGCGTGTGTGCAGTGCTCTCCTGGCCCATTCTTAACACCTGCCCCCTGCCCTGTCCCCAGGTCCTGCGCCCCTATAGCAATGTGTCCAACCTGAAGGTGTGGGACTTCTACATGGAGGAGAGCCTCGCTGAGGGCCCCCTCTATGACTGGGAGCTGGCCCAGGAGCCCCCAGAACCCCCTGAGGAAGAGCGGCCGGATGGCGGAGCCCCCCAGAGTAGGCGCCGTGTGGTGTGGCCCTGCTATGACAGCCGACCCCGTGTCCAGCCCGACGCCATCTCTCGCCTGCTGGAGGTGTGCACATGTGAGCGTGTGTGTGAGCATGCTTGCAGGTGTGTGCCTGGTGCCGTATGCTGTGCAGTGTGGACGTGGTGCATCTGGGGGCTAGGGGAGTTACCTGTTGGCCTGGGGTGGCTGTGGTTTCCCCTGGCTTCACCCTGCCCTGGCTGTTTGTCTAGGGCCACTTAACTGGAGGGCAAGGGACACAAGCCCCTGGCCCGTTGATGTCCTCTGTGTGGGGCATCAAGTGTCTTACTCCTGTGGCTCCTTGACATGGCTCTGCCTCCACCCTGGGCGCTTTCCCTGCCCAACCTGCGTGCCAGGGGCCTTCACTGACTTCCTGTCCCTTGCGCCCCACCCCCTGCTATCCTTGTCCCATGGCTTCCGAGTGTGCCTGAACAACCCCTGTAGGGCAGAACATGGGGTCCTGCCCACAGTCAGGTGGTGAGGCTTGGAGGAGGTAATCTACGTGGTCACCGGCCAGGGTTGGGAGAGCAGAGCTGTGGCTTTTCTCCATGGTGTTCCTGGAAGCCTGCTTAGTGAGGCGTGAACGGGCACCTAGTGTCCCACTTGCAACAGGACATGAGGCTGCGCCCTGCGTTTTCCTGCCTGTTGTCCATGGAGCAGGTTGCCGGACCTCCTTCCACAGCTGTGTGCAAAGTTGGCTTCAAACTGCCAGCTTCTAGGCCAGCAGCTAGTTTTAAACTGCGTGTATAACCCAGACGTCTCTCTTTATCCGGTCTGTATTTGGGCATTTGTTTTTTGTATTTGTTTTTACTCATTTTATTAGGGGCTCATACAACTCTTATCACAATCCATACATACATCAATTGTGTAAAGCA